ACTCTGGTTTCCAGCAGGTGCCATCTCCTTGGCCCCCCTTAAATAATACTTTAAGGCAGCATTAGCCATCACACCGTCATCTTTACTCTATTTAGCATGTAACCTCTAACTTCCACTCAAATGAAAATAGATATTTATAGGGTTGCAGTTGTAACAAAGATACTAGCTTGCATTCTTGTTCCCAGTTTAAAATGTCATTTTCACAGCCTTTATATCTTTTTTTAATAAAGAACATTGCATTGTTCTAATGTAATACAGCCTAGAAACCTCCCTTTGTTTCTTTGTTTTGTTTCTCTTTTCTCCTTAAGTAATTTTTGGAAAAGCCAGTATTCCAGTCTGAAGTCTGCCTTTGGAAACCTGCCAAGAGCTACTCTGAAATGATTTTACAACAAAAACAACTTTTCAAGGAACAAGTATTTTAAGGGCATTCTAAGAAATTGTTCAGATAGAAATGTTTTCTACAAGAAGCAGCTACTACAATAGAGAAATGCTCACTATTTACATATTTTTTTTATTAAAGTAAGCACTCTGGGGGTTGGGTAGACAGCTTAGTTAACTGCGTGCTAACCTTGTAAGCACAAGGACCTGAGTTCGATCCTCAGAACCGTCATACTTTTTTTTTTTTTAATTTAAAAAAAAAAAAAAAGCTGGGTGTGGTGGCACATATTTATAATCCAGGCACTGGGGAAAGGAGACAAGTAGATCCCTACTGCTTTGTTAGTTCGCTAGCCTAGGCTAGCAGTTTCCAGGTCAGTGAGATACCCTGCCCCGAATAAAAAGGTGGGCAGCACCTGAGGAACAACACCCAAGGCGCATCCTCTGGACTCCACACGCGCCTGCACACACATGTACACTCACATGTATATGAACACACACAAATAACCTTAGTTTCTCCTCAGAAATCAGTAGGCAGTACTGTGGCCTGTGAGAGACCACAGTGGGAAACCCTGGCTCCCTGAGGCTCAGATCTCTTAGCCTCTGATTAGGGAAGTACCTACTCTGGCTACCAAAGTCCACACAGCATTACCAAGAGACAGCTCTGATTAACCAATTGGAGGTACAGGAGAAAAAACACCGATTCTATCTAATGTTCATGAAAGTAACCGTACAGCACCTCTTCCTGTAATGCAGTGGATAGAAGAAAGTTTGTTTTAGAGGCGTGAAAACATTGGTGTTCAGCTGGGTGCTCTATCCAGTCCTGGTAAAGCCTCATTGCACGGGGTCATTGAAGGCCTTCCTGCACTCCTGAGTCCAGAGAGGATTGCCTAGAACCCCATCCCATACCCTGTAGGAACCTAAACACTTCTCAAGACTCCTGCACATTTCCAGAGAGCATCTGTCCCTCACCTCTCTCTTCTGGGACTTAATTCCATTGACGGACAACACTACCACTCCCCACTTGCCTTCCGCCTCCCTACTGCTTCCGCTCAGACGGCTCTCTCCGTGGCCCTCTCGGCCCCTGACTACAGGCACAGGCCCTCAAGCTCCTCATAGCACGCCTATCCATCACAGCCCAGGAAGAGGTTATTATTCTAAGCGCCGTGGATGTTCCCTCCTTGTGAATGGATCAGTTCACTGGAGTGCTTTTGGCCACTTCTTCTCCACCCCCCTGTGTGGTGTGCCCCCTTCCTGAACCTCTCTTTTCTTCTCATTCTTTCCTCCCCAAAGCTCCTCAGATGTTCATGGGGAGTCATACACACAGAGCAGCCAGCTCTGGAGTCCCTACTGCTAAAAGCAATTCCAGGCAGGTCTCTATTATGCATCTTAAAAACAAATCAAGTGGCCTTTAATGTCATTGGACTTGCATTTTTAGAAAGCATTTGTTGCTGTTAATAGCAATTTATGTTCCTCCCATGCATCTCTATAAGCTTGATTCCTTTCAACAGCCCATCCTAAGTCTTGAGCTTAGACATGTGACCAGATCTCTACCAGCTGTCAAACCATCAGAAAACAGTTTCTTTACCAGAAAGAAGATTCGTGCATATCCTGTTAGCATATCTAACCTTTTGATACTATGGCATAACATTGTCATCTATGAAGGTCATCCTTGAGACCCACATAATCAACTCTCTCGCTCTCTCTCTCTCTCTCTTTCTCTCTGTCACACACACACACACACATACACACACAGAGTCTCTATTTCTGTCTTTCTATCCCTCTGTGTATGTGTCCATCTCTCTTTCTTTCTCTCTCATAATATTTTCTTAGGATTTTATGTTGAACCACATTCACAGCTGCCCTTGGCTGCACATGAATGGGCCTTGTGTTGGATACATCTACCCATCATGCCTGACGGTCAAGGGATTCCTTCATCCATCACCACACTCAGCAGCCTCGTTGTCCAAAGCCCATCTCTCCTGTGGTTCTTCCCATGCTTACACCGTGTTTGCCGAATGCAGCTGAGCACACAGACAGTAGTGGGCTTCATGAATCTCTGGGTGGTATTTGGAGGTAGTTTCTTACCCGTGTTTTATTTCACTGGCTGCTTTCCTGGTTGTTGACAGTGGTAAGACAGACTCTTTATTCAATCCCAACACCTCCTGGGAGGTGATACATTGTCCATAATATTGTCACCGGTTCCCCCAGCTCCGTTTCTGCCACAGATTCATTTATGCCGCACACAGTCATTGCCTGCTGTGAGCTAAGAGGTGGAGACAACTGTGGACAAAAGTCCTTGCACTCTCGAAGATTATTCCTAGTAGTGCTGAGAGGCGATAAGATATTTTGGTGCTGAACAGTCGCCGGTGACACTAAAACTGTGTGTTCCGGTTTCAGAACCAGGGCCGAAGGCTTTACTGTAAACAGAAATGATATTCCTTCCTACTTAATGGCAGTCTTCCTCCCTCCACATCTCCAGCCCCTCCTACCCACCCGTCTGTTCCTATCGCACTGGGATTGAGTGTGGGGGGTCCCAGTCTTCCACAGAATACTTGTTTGGTAACAAAAACTGTATGTCATAGCTTTTAAACCTTTAGCCCTTAAACTTCAGGTTCCTCTTTGCTCAAGTTGAAAGGACCAGACTTGTTCATATGTGTGAAACATGAACAAGCATCAGATATTGTACCGTGTCTCATTCTAAACATAAATAGGATATATCATATCCATTTGTTATGGGAATGCAATGCCCTCTCTAAGCCAGAGAGCTGGACTTTCCCCTTTCCCATTCTTGGTGACCTTCCAGTAGAAAGCTGTTGCAAAGACAAGAATAATTAAATGTTAATACAATAACAACAGGCTATTTACAGAAAAAAAAAATGAGCAGAGGGACTCACTTTTCTACAGTCTTCTAGTATCCCATTAAGTGAGTGAAACACACTGAAAATACCACCAGCAACAGTTTATCCTAATAGTACTCTATGTTATTCACCCTGTGAGATTTATAGTTCAGACATACCAATTCAGAATAGAAATGGAGAGAAGACTGTTCATCTAATCAAATACGTAGGCACTATGAAGAATCTTCAATTATCTAATTTTATTGAAGGGGATGGTTTATATCCCGTAGTCAGTGATGTGCAATCCTGTGATTGTCCTAAATCCCTTAGAAGAGATCTGACATTGTGCTCTGCATGCTGGATAACATGAAATCACCATGTATATTTCACCAAGAGATATAACAAGAAAAATAGCCTCCATGGTATGCAGTCATTTTATCCCGACACACTGCAACATGGTTTTTGCCCAGGGGCGGAAAAGTAGAGTTGTTTTTTTTTTTTTTTTTTTTTTTTCCCTCTACTTCAAAAGAAAGAAAAATTATCATCACTCTATCCAGAACCATTACAGACTTCAGAGACTTTGGCATGAAATATTCAGAAAGTTTATTTTAGAATTCAATATTTTAAAAGCCTGCTTTAAAACTATTACAGTGATTAGTGGCTTTCTTGCTTAGGCCAGTCTTTGCTTTTAAAAGCTCTGTATCATGGTTGCTACCATTGTTTTCTGCAGAATGTCATTTGCACCAACCACAGACACTCGGAAAAAGGCATGTCCTGCATTGTTTCAGGATGTCCCTAAGAGGAACTGGGCCCATGTTCATGTGTTATCTTTTCAGACATGCTATTTAATAGACAGCTCTTATCCTGATGACAGAGCTGATGAGTTGCTGCTGGCTGTGTTTGTGCTTTGGGTGCGCCTAATCTTAACCACATAGAATGTCTGCCATGTCTCCGAGGTTCCAAGGACATCCCCCTCAGAAGCTTCCCACACCCTTAGTCAAGAGCTCACATCTCCATCACTCTTCATAGGAATTGGAAAAGCTTAGTGTTGTGTGTTGTGAGGGTTTCACAATGATTCCAAGGATATGAGTGAAGCCAGTAAGGAACCACAGAAGTGTGATTAGCCATGCATGAACTTCTCCTTGGGGAGTGTCATGGTTATATAGGGTGGCGAGAGAGGGTCAGGACTTCTGCTCCCTTGGCCCTACATGTTGAATCTCCTCACTACTACATCTCCCCAAATCCTCTTGTCTCCTAGTCCCGCCTATCTTGCTTTCCTATTGGCCAACAGCATTTATTCATTAACCAATAAGAGAAACATATTTACAGAATGGCATCTCCCATCAGATGAGGATGACCATGACCCTCTGATCCTCCTGCCTCCACCTCCCTGGTGCCGAGATTACATGTGTACACCACTGTTCCCAGTTTTATGCAGTGCTAGGGTTTAACTTAGGGCTCCATGTGTGCTAGTCTAGCGCTCTGTCAACAGCTACAGCCCTGGCCCCTTATTCCTCCCTTTCTTCTGTAGCTTATACTTTTAGGTCCATCCCTCAAATACATTCCATGTGTGTTTCTGTAGGTTTTAGTAAATACCCCTTCTTTCCTCCATACTTTAGTTGTTATCAGTGTAGAGGAGGGAAGCACAGGCACCAACCTTGGTCTTCAGATAGGGTTGGCTCCTCCCTCGTGCTGACATGCATAGAAGGCAAGATTCCAGGATGCTCTTGACGTGGAGGTGCCGACAGGAATAACGTGTGAATAACTTTCCGTGTCATTTTCCAGGGAAGCAGATCAAGACTCAGATGGTCACGTCAGCTTCCGAGACTTTGAGTATGCCATGAACTGTGGACGGGCAGAATGAAGCCGGATGCTTGTGGACTCTACTTTTGGCAATGCTGGGCAGATCAATTAATTGTAATCTAGTTGAAGGTCACACAGACCTCACTCTTTTATGGTGCTGTGTACTTGTGAGTAAACTCTTAATTATAGTTTTAGATGCTGATGTTGAATCTAGAGGTAGGACTTTCCTTCTATGTCGCTAAGAGCCCTGAGTCAGACTGCTGTGGCTGGCCCTGCCGCCCAGTGATCTCTTCCTTGTCCGCTCCTGTCAGCTGTGCATTCTTCATACTGTGGGATGGAGGCTCTGCTCATGTTCTGCCCCTCGCCCACCTGGAATCCCAGCCCTTACCAGCCCTTTCTTCTGCTAGTGGTGTCATCGTCCTTCATTTGCTCAACTTCAGATGAGTATCAAGCTTGCTGTGGCCAAGGAATGAGCAAATGCTAGGAAAACAGAGACTTCTCTTATATAAAGTCCCCGGAGTGCAGTCAGTGGCAGGACATTAGCTGTGCAAAACCCAGGGAGCAGCTCAGACCAGGCAGCCATTCTTTATACACAGAAAACCAGAATGCAACTGGGGTCTTAATGGGCAAAAGGGTATGCTTTTGGCTTCCTCTAAGTTAACCTGGACCTGGGCTTCCTGCTTCAGAGAAGTTAGCCTGAGCTGGCCAGCAGCCCCCTGCAGGGTACATCCTTCTGGTTCTAGGTAGTTTTACTGGGTACCTGAAGCTCCAACCATCCCAAACTATTAGGCATCTCCGCACCAAACCACGCCCCTAGGATCCAGTGACTACTTTCTGGAACAAATTGAGACACTGAACATGCAACATAACGTCTATTAAAAATAATTCTGAAATGCTGATATTGTCATTGTAACTCTTCAGATTTCACAACATGAACATTTGTAAAGGAAATCAGTGTAATCTGTTTTGAAAATGTTAAACATTAAAAGATCAAGCAAAAGTATGAATTTGTGGAGCAAACATTAAGCAAGCTTCATGCTCATCTAAATTATTAGCAGATAGCCTTAAGAAAAATAAAGTGTTTAGCTGTGATAAACCAGAGGAACCAGAGGATATGGGACAACCAAATGCAATTTGACTAAAATGTAATTTGTCCTCCTAGATGGGCCCCTAGGAACACACAGCGGAGATGAGCCAAGCCCGGGCCTCTCTGCTGCCTGTGACGATGTGAGAGACTATGTGAGGGGCATACAGGAGTGCCTGCCGTCACTGTCCCCATGATTTCTCTATAAATCTAGAATCATTCCAAAAACCGAGTTTGTGAAAGATTAAAGACTGATTCAAACATTCATAAGCGAAATGAAGAAGGAATGAAAATCATTTCTCAACGTGAATGAAATGGTATCTCAAAGACAAAAATGGGTTGCTGGTCTCATTGTGACGTGTAGGATTTTGTTCACAATCTTCCAGTTGGACCTCATTTCATCACAGTAGGCAAACTGAGTCATTGACCCTGTTCTCAAAACGTAAAGAGAGACTGTAGATTTCTTAAATAAGAATAAACGCACTAATAGTATTTATTATCAGAGCCATTCTTTCAGTGACAGCCAGAGCTCCAAACTTTTGCATTGTACTTCTATCTGGGTCCTGTTTGTCCTGAGCAAGATGACAAGGGAAAAGGAGGGGTCACCTCCTACCATGGATGTAGGAAGCAAGAGGTGAGCCTGGGAATGGCTATTGAGCAACTCCCATGGCTCTAGATTAGACAAGACATTTTATCTCAATGACAGAAAACTACCCAAAGAGAATTTACTTTGAAAAGGGAAAAAGAAAAGAAAATCACTGAGCTAACTTTATAAGACTTAACAGAGGGAGCTCAGAGGTGCAGCTTGGCCCCAGGACCCACGACACTAGCATCTCCAGATTCCCTCTTCTTCCTGTAGTTACCAACAGCCTTATACCATCCTCAAAAAGAAGTGATCCATGCTTCATCCCGATCCAAGTGCAGAGCATCTAGAGATAGGCTCTGGTTGACTGCACTCGGCTCTGGTTTGTGCAGAGGGGATGGACATGTCCTCTGGGGACTCAAGTGCATGCAGCCAGGACTGGTAATAGAGGAAGATAATGGCCTGGGCAGCCCTTCTGCTTGAGACCTCTTCTAAAGTGCATACCACTGAGTTTGCTGCCTCGGCGCATCCAGCCTCTCCAAAGAAAGAACAAAGAAAGGGTGTCAGAGAAGCTACGAACACACCTTCCTCTCCTTACCCCCTGCTTTTAGGATTCATCCCCCTTCTTGTCTAGGCGGGACTTTCCCCATCCTCTCACTTCCAGAACCCAGTCCCCATGGTACTGCCTGTGCACTGTGTGTGACCTTGCTGGTCTGACCCCAGCTGGGTGACCTAAAGGTAGGCAGGCACCCGGTCAAGCTGACACACTCAATCAGTCTCAGCTCTTGGAGGACATGGGGAATGCGAGTGCAGTCCAGGTGCTCCCCTGCGTGGCTGAGCAAGGGATATAACCTAAGGGTGGGCAGCAGACTTGCTTTCAGTCACATGGCCTGCCTGGAAAATCCAAGCAGCTGGTTTGCAGTGAGCAGAGAGGGGCTTAAAAATAGATGGGGTGGGGTGGGGTGGACTAAGGGAGATACAGCCCTGAGGTGCTTGGTTTCTAGATCCAGCTCATATGCTGGGCTCAGTCATAGCCCTTTGGGTCCTGTGAGGTAACTGCGCCCTTCCAATAAATCTTTCCACTCAAGCCAGCTGGAGTTGCTTTCTGTTATTTGAAACCCAGAGAGCCTTCACTGCTGTGAGCTTCCAGCCAAGGACAGAGTCCTGGGTGACATTAGCATTGACGGGACAGAGGAGAGCACACTCCTAGAGTGAAAACGGAGCAGCAGTTGAGGATGGAACCGGGTAGTACCGCCATTTCCGTCCCAGCCTTTCTCTGAACCCCTCCCCGGCAGCTCTGGGATTCCCTGCTACTGCAGCTTTCAGAGTGCTTGTCCACGAGCTTCTAACGCGTGGATGCACCAGCTCCTCCCAGACCTCAGCTCACGGCCCCTTCTCTGGGGTCTGAGGTGGTGGCACAGCCTTTGGAGCCCTCTTGCAACCTTTCTCGACACAAGTTTGTCACGGTATTCCTGTGCTGTCTTTTCCAGTTTCTTGTCCCAGGCCCAGCCAAAAAGTGGGAGTATTTTCCCAAGTCCCATAACCGGCCAATCGTTCCTGGTCAACACATTCTCCAAGGATGCTTTCATCCACCGCCAAGAGTCCGGTTATCGGCTTGATTGCTACGACTCCATAAACAAGGCTTCATCTTTGATCTTGACCTCTGCTCAACTCCAGGCCTGTGCCTTTCCTCACCACTCAGACATTCCCACCTCGGTGCAGACTCACTGGACTAAAATCAGATGTATTGTTCCCCCCAATTTTCAAAATTGTTCTCCTAGCCTGTGTTTTCTATTTCTGTTGATGACAGCCTCCCTGCCCATCCCCCACCCAAGCTGTCACCCAAGCCAGCTGCCTCAGAGTCAGAGTCTCCCCTTCTTCCCATCTTCCTTGGCTCTGACACTCAGTCACTGGATCCTTTTGAGCATGTCCTTGTAAATCTTTTTTTTTTTTTTTTTGCCATTGCATCCTGGTCTTTCTGCCCATGTCCTCAATCCTGGCCTGGCCAATTATTCCATCCAGTAACATGTCCTTTTGCTTATTTGTGTGAAGTGAGTGTAAGGTATATACAAATAACTGCTGTCGGGGAATTTTAGTCTGGCACGTCATGGAGCTCCCCAAGGCACAGACGAAATGCCCGTCCTCTACTCCAGATCTTCCGGTCGCTGTCTTTTGTGCTGAACGGTGCCTCGCACTGTAGCATGCGCTCTCAAAGCCTTCGGTATTGGGGTATCCATGTATGTTTTCAGTCTTGTTGTCCATGACTCACCCAGCAGCCACAGAGATAGACAAGCACAGTGCCATCACCCAAAACCACAAGAAGTGCAACAAATCTTTACTCAAAGTACAACGGTAATATTCTCAGGGTTAATAGCTGACGAGAAAGGAAGAAAGTGAACATTGGGGGGAACAAGGCTAGAGGCTGTTCTCTGGCTTCTACGGGCCTTCACACGGCTGTTCTCTGGCTTCTACGGGCCTCCACACGTGCATGCATTCCTGTATGCACACACACTCACAGGTGCACTTACACGTACCCCCAAAACAGTAAGACAGAAACAAAAAGCAGCCCAGGGATGATGGCACAGGTCTTTAATACAGCATTTGGGAAGAAAGGAAGCAGAATTTCTTTGTGTTTGAATCTAGCTTGGTCAACATACTAAATTCCAGGCCAGCCTGTGTTACCTAGGGAGATCCTGTCTCGATAAGTTAATTAATTGATTGATTAATTAATCTCATTTTACAAATACTGAAAAGTTAAGTGTGGTGGAACATACTTGTAATTCCAACACTGGGGAGGTGGAGTCAGGAGGATCAGGAGTCCAAGGCTAGGCTAAAACTAAATGGGGTTCCATGAGACCCCGTTCAAAAAAAAAAAAAAAGGAAAAATAAACGCTAACTATTGGTTCACCTACATCCTAATGAACATTATTTCTTCACAGTTGTCTCTTTATAAGGGACTAATTATTTTATTACTAAAATTGTTGAGATAAATAGCAGCCTTCTCTCCCTCCAATGAAGGAGGAAGCAGTCTCAGGAAACAGCTCAGGCCAAGTTATAGGAGGGCATGGAGAGAATTAAGGTGTGTGCTCTGGCTGGTCAGCTTGACAACAGGCAGACTATCCTACTTGGCTGTGACATAAGCCCACGCTCTATAGTCACACTTCGTGAGTCACCCTAATGAGGTGACTCAGAATCCTTCAAGTCAGCTCAAGGGTTTCTCATGGAAGGGGTTCAGAATCGGTTCCCATCTTATGTACCACCAAAGTTGCAATTGGTAACCAACTGAAGTCAGCTGCAGAGACCAGAACAAAAGGTTCTTTAGACCCTAGAGGATTATTCAAAGGAAAGTTCTAGAACTGCTCTGTACAAGAGAGGCATCTTTGTATGGGTGTGCATCCCCACTAAGCAACACTTTTCTGGCATATAAAGTCTAAGTAATACATCTCCATAGTCATTGTACTTGGTATTGTTTGTATACTTCATAGATTTAAGATTTATAAAAAATGAGCTTTGTTACTTTTCTTGAATTCCAACTTTTGAAAATTTGA